TAATGTTTTTTTTAAATAGATATCTACCTTATCTATTCACCTCATAAGTAACATTTACAAACTAAATTTTGTGTTAAGTTTTAATTAAAAAATAATAATCTTGTAACTCAAACACCTTAACTTTTTATTTCGATACTTATTTTTAATATTGTTCTTTAAAAAAGAAATTTAATTCTTTTAATAGAAGAAACTATTAAAAATACATTGGTCAATGAAATCTTACTTCCAAATTATGTGAGAAGAAATATATAATATTGATTTATTACAAATCAAAATAATCAAGTAACAACTATTTTGTATCAATTCATGTTTAGTCTATTATTTTCTTTCAATTTGTTTTCATAATTGATATTATTATATGTCTATTTATAGCAACATATTACAAAAAAACCTTGTCGGAATACACTTTTTTCCAATTTTTTTGACATTGCGTCTAAATATAAGAAAAAAACTGCTAATTATAAATAATTCCATCATCATTGTCCCTATCTTCATGACAATAGTTATTACAATAGCATTGTTGCCCAAAGTGATTAGGAAAGTGATTTTATTCAGCACTTATTGTGATCCATTATCACCATTGTATTAGTCTATGGCAATCCTCATTGTGAAATGTGATTGGCTTGTAACATCTGCGAGTCCAAGGTTCAGATATATGCATGCTCACAACAGTGACACCATTCGCAGTTGCTTTATAAATCTTGCAATTGAGCATGTCTCCTATTCAGTGGCAACAAAAAAATAAACATATAAACCTACAAACCACACGTCCCGCTTTCGGTTTCCATGAATGTTCTTGTATGATCTAATTTAATACTTTTTTACAACTCCCGCAACTGAGCCACATCAGTTTCCCTGTAAAGTATCATTTTCGCCCGAATAAGCCTGAGCCTGTTTAGATAATCTCCTGAAAATTTCATTGGTTTAGAAGCAAGCCATTACTGCCAAAAGAACAACATCTCAACTGATAATTATTCCAAGCTGAACTGAAAGTATGAACTATTACAGATTGTTATCCCGGCAACAGACATCCCAGATATCCATGAGAAAAATCCCTTTTCCGATATAATTGGAAAAAAAAAAAAAAAAAAAAAAATGATTGAATGATGGTTCCTGCAAATCTGCATGTTTAACACTAATCACGGCTCTCCTTAATTCACTTCGGCGCAGATTATCCACTAAACTGGAGTGTCAACTTGTGGGGCATTATCGCAGCAGCATCATGCACGTTAATTTAGACGCTCTCGGAGTCAAATTCGATGCAAGGCATATAAGGAAAGTTCCAAGGCTTTTTCTGGTGCCACCGTTTCTGACACTGCTAAGGAATGGAGAATAATACAAAGATAGCGAAGCGGGGTTTTACTCGCACTTGGCAGTTTTATAGTGAGGTCGTATGTTCCTGAGTGTTGGAATGTGACTGTGGGATGCGCATATCTGTAAAGGTTCCAGATTCGAGAGCAGGGGAGAGATGGCAGTATTTGCATGCAGGCTTTTTATTATTATTAGGAGGGGTTGGCGAAAGGCTTGGCTTGCAGCCAGAATCGAGTTTGGCAACAAAGCACGCATCTCAAGACATGGGTCCATCTCCGGATGGAACCAAAGCTCCCCCGCCCCCCTCGCTTCAATTCTCTTCCAAAATTCCCACCCATGGAAAACTTTGTTGTTGTTGGCGAAAAACACCAACCTATGTACATTCTTTCTATAAAAATAAACACGATGCTCTGAAACTCTCTTCAAACACGTCAAACATCATAAATAGAAGTAAAGAATTTATTGATTGTAACATTTTTGAATTCTAGAATATTGGTTGCAGTTCAATTGGTTCGTCTTTTGTTTTTTGATGTGAGTGCAACTATTTCTCATATACTATATTCTTTATTAGAACCATTTCTTCTTCTTCTTCTTCACTCACTACCACACACCAATCATATAGAATCAGGATCATTCAACTTAGAAGTAACAAATTTACTAAAGTTCAAGCATATACTTGTCAACCATCCAATGTGAATTAGGATATATATTTTTCTCAATAGAAATATAAAAAATAAAATAAAGATCAATATTATCAATTTCTTTCAATAAAATATGTTGCTTTTAATAATAAATCAAATAGTAGTAAGATACTGATGTATTTTTGAATAAAATAAATAATTAAACATGCAAAATTCAAAGAAAAAAAAGTTTTTGGGTACAAATAAAATTTGCATATTGTCTATTAGGTTATATGTTAAATAAGAAACTACTTAATTGGTGCTAATGTCATTTTTTGTGCATATTTAGCAAATGTGATAGTCTATTGTTATATAAAACCAACATCTATATTTTTAAAACACAGCTATGATAAAAATAAATAAATAAATAAAATAATAATATTAAAACCATTTGAATATTGCTTCATGCTTAACTTTGATTAACTTCTTCATTGAGTAATTAAGAAAGAAGAAGAAATTAAATAGATCTAAAAATAAGAAAACCACAACTTTTTTCCAATTAAAGCATTAGTCATAAATAATACAAGGTTTAAAATTAAAAAATTCATACTAAATGAACTAAATATTTGTAGTAAATATAAATTAGTAGTTTACTTATCTTTAACAATACAAATTTGTAATTATTTGCTAACAAGTTAGTTGTATGTATCTCAATGTGCATAATGCTTTTAAATTAGTAAGGTAAGAGACATTTATCAACTTTGACTGAAATTTTTGTGAAGTGTGTGTACATGAACATGTATTTGTTTCTAGACTCAAAATACAAAACAACATATAATGACATTAGACAAATGAACAAATAACTAAATAACCAATCACAATATTGAAATGTATATGTTTATCCTTGTCAATCAATTCATTGGAAACTCTTGAAAGGCACTGTTAACTTGGGACCTTTTCCGGTATAATGGGATTTTATTAGCTCAGAGCATGACACATTAAATGTACTCAATCTACAAATATTTAATGAATCTAGTTAGTGATATAATCGAACTACAAATTATTATCCATGTGACATTGACCAATCCAGAAGTTTATAATTACTTTCTTGCCAAAGAAATGATTAGTACATCATCATTTTTTCCCCTTAAATTGGGTTAAATTAATAGTGACTAAGCCAGACCTACCAGTTTAAAACGTTTCACTCTCAATTAATGCAATGACTCCCAAAGAAAAGAAGAAAAAAAGCACCGGCAGCATTATTTTGCAAAAGATAATATGACATAAAATTGCCCAAAAATAAACATTAGTTCCTACACTTAGATTTGGAAGGCACAAAAAAGCTTCAGGTCAAAAATCCAGGTGCAGCCAACGCCGAGAGCTTATCTAAAGTGGGCTCGATTGTCCTGACTCTAAGAACTCTAGGAATGGATGGGCCCGAATGTGGCTTGTTTCAGAGATTGACCCAAGTAAAATAAAGACATTTCTTATATATTTTTGTCTCCTACCATATTTTCACAATCAACGTAAACCGACCTTTTTAGGTATTATTTTTGTATTCATTCAATGGTGTAAGTCTTACAGCAATGTTGTGCATTCTGCAGCAAAAAAAGAAAAAGAAAAACACTTAGAGGGAAGATTTAAAACAACTATGTTTTCAAGTGTGTACTCTACCTACTTTAGTTTTCAAATTGATAATGAAATCCTGCCCCACTTGGCAACACGTGCATAAAGCAGATGAGTGAGCGATCTAAAGAAAGCAAGACAAGGAACAAGAAAGTGAAAATGAAATATATAGAGGGAGATGGTGTGAACCTATAATTACACTGGACAATAGTGTAACGTCATGGATTTGCGTTTTCAATAGCAATTCCAAATCAAAAAAATTGGTTCTTGAATCCACACTAATCAATGCATTGGATATACCCCGGCTATGTCAATGAAACAAACAAACAAATGAACAAAACTGATCAAGGGAGTATTTCAATGGTGATTTGTGGAACAGAAGTTATGAACCGCGAGCATTTCGACATAATTGAGCATATGGTAAGACATTATACTGGGCTCACCAGGCGAAGATGAAACATTGTTAAAAAAAAATAAATCAGTCGACATTCCCAATAATACAATGGGAATGTGCCATGTGGTTGGTGACATTCTACAGCTAGAGTTCCTATATTCCATTAGGCCATTCAACAATTTCATTTATGGTCAGGTTGATAACATCAAGACATTGTAACATCGACGTGATTTCGACCGTAAATTACTGGTATGTAGACTCCGAAGTCAAATTTAGTGACCTGCCACACCAAAGCACATGTGTTTCACTTGTATTGGCTAGATCGGAGACTGACATCGAGATTGCGCGCAAGTGTTTGATCTGTAGCTTTGAAGTTGTTTTCAGCTTGTTGTAGATTCAACCGACGATCCTTGATGTAGATTTCTTCACGGCATTGTGATTTTCGTTTGCGTACGGCTACCTTTTTTCATGAGAATCTGGTGCTTTGGTGGCGCCGGCCAGAGAGAGTGTGATATTGCGGAGCGATACTTTGTGGCGAAGAGCAATTGTAGACTCCGCTTGAGGTGATGAATGAATCATTTTCAGGCGAGAAGTGAGCGTCATTACTGTGTTGGATGGACATGTCGCCTTGAGTTTATGTGAAAAGGCACGGGTAAATGTTTTCTTCCTGCTGAAACAAATTGGTGGTTGACTTTCACCGCTCCAATCCAATTAGCACAACCGTTTAATTGCAAGAAGGAAACATCGGAGCTGATGTGCAGCGATTCTTGTTATTCATCTGTGTAGTGAGTATACTATCCTACATAAACAGACTAATTCGTGGGAAAACATTTGCGACGGTGGAGTGGGACAGACTTATATCTATCCGAGTTCAAGAAATTTCAGAGCAATGCACCCAGAATAGCGATCTAGTCACGGATGCCCAGGACTGCCTGACATGGTACGCATACCGAAATAAATCGTATCCTTTTAAAGACAGAAACAAGACAAGAAGGCGGAATACGGGAAGAGTCCTGAAAGAGGTTCAGGGGTTCGGGAAGGCGAGGACCCATCCCCCAGAAATTGAAGCCAAAATACTCAGTCACAACATGCAAGGCAACCTCAACAACCCAATTGCTGCTGTTGCATTTGTGCTTCCGTAGCTGTCAACGCGGTTGGAAGCAACTGATCCCGGATTTCATCTCTGCCAATCGTCCGCTTATTTGGGAGCGAGGAGGTTTTCAGACTTGTCATCCATCTTCTTCCATATATATATATATATATACATATTTTGTTCTTTTCCCCCCTGCCTTACAAACATTGTCTCCGTACCATTTCGGAAGGGAAGGCTGCTCGAAATAGTTGCAAGAAAATTGTACTAAAGGCTTCCGCAGCATTTACCTCTTGGATTCTCCTTGTAGAAGACAAGATTTCACCTTCCGGCGCAGGTGCTCTATCGCCGAGATAGGAAAATGTGCTTCATTCTGTTTCTGATTTTGTGTGAACAGAGAAGCAGGCAACTGATGCAAGCCTGGCAAAGTCGTGGTTCAGTTGTGAGAAGTAGACGGGAGTGTTGTTAGAGTTTAGAGGTGAATTTCAATCACTCTGCAGCTTCTTGCTTTGAGTTCAAGTTTTCGTCGATCGTTATCCACTTGAAGCCTAGCGAACCGTGACGAAATTCCCATCTCTCATATATTAACTCTAGGCTATGATACGTTTTAGAAGAGTGCACTCTATCCGTGTTTAATATGGATTTGTATTTGTGAAAGATGTAGTTGGCTGTCTTCGTTCCGCGATTTTGCGACTAACTTCCATCCCAGGCTAGACGTTGAAGATAAGAATCAGTCTCTTTTATGAAGCACAATCAAAGCGTCTCCAGTCGATTATATAGGGGAGCGTTCACATTTAAGGTGAGATCGTGAGCGCTGCAGAATGACTTCGCTTCGATTGTCGTCGACGCTCTACACATCGTGGTACACATTGTTAGGCCAGCACTTGAAAATTTTGTCGGCAAGAGTAGTCACCAACTTGCAGTAAATGACACATCTTCTAGGTGAATCTTTAAAATGATTTTTCTCTCGCGTTTGAGTTTGTGAGTGCCATTGGCGAGAAGCTGACTGAGTCGAAAATCTTGCTCAAGTCATCTGGAGGTCTCGAATCAATACGTAATTCTTATTCTGGGAGCGTCACCATCTGCAAGTCTCCGGACTTGTGGTGGTCATGTCGATTTTACAGTCGCCAACTGAATGGGGACCGGTTGGAGCGGTGGCCAAAGTGGAGCAGCTACCTCCTGCAAATTCGAGGAGCAGCGAAGCGAGTCGATCTGATGACGGTTCCTCTGCTGCTCACCCATCAAAATCGGGAACACCTAAAACCTCGACTGGTGTGATTATTGGTGGCATTTCGCTGACTGATGATGGCGCAACCAAAAAGAAGCGGGGTCCGAAGTTCCTCGTGAAGCAGTTCGGAATGATCACTAAACCTGCCAATGCAAGTCCCCGGCGAAACTTTAAACTTCTAGGTCAAGACTACGTAGTTCCGATTCCAGGATCTAGGGCTGTGGCCAGTACTAATGATTCGGTGTCTGTAGACGCAGATCTAAAGGTTGATAATCGGGATGGAAATGCTAATGCAGAGCCTTCCAATAACTCTGTGATTACACGCACAGAGCCAGTACTGGAACAGCAGGGGAATGTAACGGAAGAGCCGCCTATGGAGTTTGTAGGAGTATCTACGGACTTCAAAATAGATAAGCCCGGGGTTGTGAAGGAACAGCACCGGAATGTGGCAAGGCCGCCTATTGAGTTCGTAACTGTACCTGTAGATTTTAAACAGGAGAAGCGGGGAGTTGTTGATAGACCGCCTATCGAGTTCGTCACCATGCCCGTAGATTTTAAGAAAGGGAACCGCAGGGTTGTTCGAGAAGACCGACCTGTAGATTTTGTGCCGAGGTGCTCACCGCGAGTTGGACCGCATGTGAGACTCGATTCAATGTTACGGAATCACTCGTCAGAAGAAAGTTCGCCGTCAGTCTCAGGGAGATTATCCTACAGCCAAGTAGACAGTCCTCGTTCACAAAGGTCTGTCTTGTCAATTCCTGAGACAATCATGTCTAGCATCGAACATGAAGTGTACAGTGAAGATAATTTGAAGCCACACTCCAGGACTAGTCTTTCAAGCCTAGCCGAGTGGTCCAGCCATTCTCTTGAAAGACGAGGAGAACTGAGCATCGCTGGGTTGTCTATAGGGGAAGGAAGAAATATCGCTGGAATTTCTCGTCGCACAGATGTCACGAGTGCTCAATCGCCTAATCGGTCGGACACCCAAGCACTTGACTACGGTCCAGGTAACCTAATCTCTGATGTACTTGTTGTGTCTATCATCCGCCAATGGATTTCCTGTGATTTAAAAAAATTTGTTCTGCAATCAACCCGATGTATGAATTATTTCCAGATGACACGGATTCTGGTGTGGAAATGTATCACGAAACAACTTCGGCAAGCCCAGGGTCGTATGCATCACGGCGGTCGTCTTGTAGTCTATCAGAGGAATGGGCGTCAGAAGTTGAAGACTCGGATGGCTTGTCACACCACGAGCGTAGGACTAAACATCGGAATGCTGCGAGTTTGTCCAGCTACTCCTATTCCGGATCCCGGTATTCTGCTTCAACTTCTGATGGGAATAGAGGCAATGGAGGATACTATAATCGCAAACGAAATGATTCCAGCTTAACCAATTCCACTTTCTCAAGTCGTGGCGCGCCCAAAAAGCGCGATGGGAACTCCACATCTGGGTCTAAGCTGGCGGTGCAATTTGGAAAACACGGAAACAGGAAGGACCGAGTTGGGAGTCAAGGCCAATTCAGGACCAGCGACGACACGGCTATACCGCTGGATTCAATCTCGCCTCAGGAAGCCATTGCGGTGTTCCACGACGAGGTGGCCCAAATGATGTTTGAAGAAGGTCTAGATTGCTGTGAAGCGAATGACGTCGAGGAGTTTCTTGATGGATACATGCGGCTACGGTCGCCCTTTTATCTATCCATGGTAGACGATTTCTTTAGAGCTGTGTGCGTAGATTGTTATAAACGACCAGTGGATCTCCCTGTTGAAAGCACACCTCCCAGTCTTAACAGGTTGGGATCATCCATTACAAGCTCCAAATCTACGAGGTCGGAATCGCAAGCTCACAACCTCAACTTAGCCTAATCCGATTCTGAGTCTATCAGCAGCCATTGAGGTTGAACATCACAACCAGATCATTAGAAAATTTGTTTCCCGAATTTCGAGATTCAACAACAAACTGCCTGAGCACACCATTTCCTCGTCTTTCATGTCGACCGTTTCTGGATTTGATCCAGCTTTTGACCTTAAGGATTGTTGCGCCGTGCTTCACTGCGCAGTTCGGAGATCAGCGTGGCCTCGCAGGGTACGAAAACCGTTAGTAGTTTAGGGGAAGAGTTTCTATGCAGTTTTGATGTGGTCTGACTATTTGTTCTCCATTACTTGATCTATACAAAGATTTCATTATGAAGGTTATCTGTGTACTAAACTCCATGCAAGTTGCATTCTTGTTTACGGTGCCATTATGGCGGAGGCTCAGTGAGAAGCAAGTTGGGGACAGTCCTATTATCGACACATCCCATGTGCGGATGAACCTACTCCTGATGATCCTCTTTGACTGCACATAGAATCTTCTGCATGCTTATTCCTTGCGTGTAAAAGTTCCCCCTAGTGGGGACCTCCATTCTCTAAGGCACGATAATTGTCAGACTTTTCGATCACGTTCGGAAAGGCGCAGGCAAGCTGCGCATCCCACCACTTATGGTTCCTGAAATATGAATCTTCAATTTGCGGGGACAGCTTCTTCTTAATGGCCAGCATGATGCGCATCGTCCGTGTATTCTTCTCTATTTTAGATTCCTACACGAACGCCCAGAAAGATTTATATCGTCATTCTCGACGTTGTCTCAGATTAAAACTAAATGAAGATAAGCGTGCGGTACTTGTCATGGATGTTAATCGAGTTCTACAGATCTGCTGGGGCACTGAGCATCTAGAAGGAAGATGTTGGAATCCTCATGGCTAGTGAGGAGTTAATAGCACTGTCTTCTTTTTTTGAAACTGAAGAGGTGCACCCATTTGCTGATTGTTAATTTTTTGTTTTCTTTTGACAGAACTGGGATATACCCGTTGCATTAATGGAGGAAGTAGCAAATACAAGAACTGTAATATCTTTTGTGCAAGCCTAAGAGTGGTGTAATATTACCATGTTGTCTAGTTCTTGTCAATAGTGTGGATGATGAGATTGCTAGGAACTTTAGTGTTCCAATGGATTTGCATTCTTTCTCTAGTTTATAGTATATTTTTAGTTAGCCAAGTTCTATTCCATCTTTTTTTAATATGAGCTTAGTTTTTAACATTATTAATTTAATTTAATTTTTTGATTAATTTTTTACATCATGTATTTATATTCTTGGAGATTAGACTATTTTTTTGTTTTACTTTATTATTTTTCCTTACCTTCTTTTCAAATGTAAATGTGTGTCTTTGGGTCTATATTATGGAAAGACAAATTTTTCTTATAAATTTCCAAATAATTCTTCATGCATGTTATATAAGAAATCTTCAAGGCCAAGGATGCTTGTTTCTAAGTAAGGCTTTTCATATCTTATATTTTATTTGATGGGAGTTTATTATATAAAAGAGAGAGGTAGCTCAATCCTATATACAACAAGTTTAGTTGCATTTCCAAAATTTGTGTATGATAGTATTGTTTTTTTCTTAAAGAACAAAGAATATAATTGAGAAATTATTTTCTATTGGCTTAGTATCCCTATGTATTTACTACCATTTTTATGTGCCAAATGAATTATATTAGCATAGTTTTTTTTGTGACCCTAAGTTTAAACCATGCATTATTTTAATCAAATTGGAAGTTAGGTTTTAGTTAGTTATACCATTTACATGTTAAAAGATCTTATTAATATTTTTAAAAAAATTATTTACCAAATTTTGTTGGATAAATCAAAAAATTTGGTCTTAAGTCCTAATAATTGGATGTTTATTAGAAATGTAGTGACTACTTAGCTTTTGCTTATATAACAACATTTATTATTTTTTCTCTAGTGAGGTATTGCATATTAGATCAATGTGGATGTAAGATCTTTACTATCCAATTATTTAATAAAGAAGTCATGGCTCCTTTTAGATTAATTAGTTATAAACCTTCTTTTTATTTGGATTTATAACAAACATATTATGTTCTCTTGGTCTAAGAGAGGTATTGGATACTTCTTTATATAAAATTTCAAACCATTACTTTAAATTTTGAAATAGCTTTAAAAAAACTTACATATAAAAAGGTAAAAAAATATAAATAATATATATATATATATATATATATATATATATATATATATATATATATATATTAGTGATTATTTATTAATTAAAATATAATAAAGTTGATACCAACTTGGTTTTAGGATATTTTGTATAGAATATTTATCTTACAAGGAGATATATTATAAATGTGCTTGTATTTAAATAAAAAAATTTAAAATATTTTTTCTTATCCAAATTTAAAAATATTTTAATAGAATAATAAGTTTTTTAGATGTCTTCTTTGGATTAATTTTTATGTCTTATTTTAATAAGCTTAACCATAAATTAATAATCTATACCCAATTACTTTCTTAATAATTTTTTTATCCCCATAAATTTTCTTAAATATCGTATTATTAAGTAAGTGTGTGTGTGTGTGTGTGTGTGTGTGTGTTTTTTTTTTTTTTTTTTTTTTTTTTTTTTTTTTTTCTCCATAAATGATTTAAAATCCTAAGTCTAAAATTAAATACTATATTAATTTTATATATTTGAAGTAATTAAGATCTTTATTAAAAAAACTTATTATAGATTGAGAATTTGTTATAGTCTAGTTTAGATTTATTATTTAATTATATATCAAAAGACCAATGTTCCCCACTTTTCTACTTTTTAAAGAAATAAGTATTCTTATAATACATATAAGTCAAATTTTATTGTTTTGAAGTTTTAAATTCTTCTACCATTCTTTTAGAAGGATAAAAAAGAATATTTACTTAGATCATATTATAATTGATATCTTCAACTGAGAATTAAATTTTAATGTTAATTTTTATATATTATCAATCTTTGAGTATTATTAAATCCCTAGACTACATTAGACCACTAAATAATGATAAAATTGGATAAAAGGTAAACTAAGTTCTATTTTTAGTATCTATTTTGAATTAAATTCTTACTAATTAAAATTTGGTGTATACTTGATTATTTTTTAATTCTTAGTATCCGTTTTGGACTACAATCTAATCTAAAAAATATATAATTTTTTAAATAGAAGAATATAATTTATTATAAACTAATAATAAATTAACTAAGTTATATTTTGATAAAAAAAATGTGAATTGATTTGATTAAGTAGATATAATAAAATAAGTTAAGTTTCTTTTTTATAAAAAATTTAAGGATTTTTTTTGTATTAAATTTATTAATGTAATTTAAATAAAATTTTAATTTTAATTCTTTTAAATTAAAATTTATAAGACCATCTATTTTTTTATAGAATATTTTTTTGTTCATAGAATATTTAATGAGTTGGAAGTAGTCATATTTTATATTATTCTAGAGAATTTTAATGAATAAAATACTAAATCTATTTGGACCTAAAGCCTTGTGCTTAGCTAAAGGTTTAATTAATTCATATGATTCTTATAATAATCAAATTTAATTGATTTTTTTTCTAATTATTTTATCCAACTTTCTAGGATAGAAAATATTTTTTGTATTAAAAATATTAATATATAAATGTGATCCCTTATTTTCTTTATATGCTTTAGAGAAGAATTAAAATTAAAAATTTTTCATCTAAAATTACTCTTATTATATAATACTATTGATGTTTTGAAGATTAGAAATTCTAGTTTGAGAACATTGTTTTATATTGCTAAAATAATTGTTTTAGATAAGCCTCTCTATTATGTGATCTATTTGATTTTTGGCCTAATCTTTATAATCTTTTTTTTTTTTTTTTTTTTTTTTTTTTTTTTCTCTGAATTAGCAAGTATATATTATTGGTATTTTAAACCACTTTTTATTATAATATTTTATGTATTCAAGTAAATTGTGAAATAATATATATATATATATATATATATATATATATATATATATATATATATACATAAGGATACTTTTTTTTTGGTACTTATTTATTTTTCATTCTTATATTTTCAGAATTTTATTAATGTATAATTCTACAAAAAACATTTGAAGAAAGAATTGAATTTATGCTTCTATATGTTATAAATAATGAGATTAATTTTATCCTTTTCTAAATATTTGGAATTTATTTTTTAATTGGTAAGAGGCCTAAGTAATAGAAAAAAAATAAAAAATAAAAATAAGGTAGTAAAGAAGATAGTATTTTATTTGATGTAATAATCTAAAATAAAAGATTGATAGAAAAATTAAAATGTGATATAAGACTTATTAGGACAAAGTAGAGTTCTATAATAATTTCTTTTATCATTCTAAACAAATAGAATAAAATTCAAAGTTGATATGAATCTTGTAAGTCCAAGTAAAATTTGAGGGCTTTTTTAAGAATTATTTTCTATTAAATATCAATTCATACTTCAAGAAGAAGTTTTATTCTATAAAAAAAATTATATGTGTGAGATAAGGATTAATGAGTATATACAACCTTCTTTTTGTTTGTTCCATCTATTTCATAGATGTATCCAAAAACAAATATATATATATATATATATATATATATATATATATATATATATATATATATATATATATATATATATATTTTTTTTGGTTTAATAGAAAAAAAAAAAAAAAAAACAAACAAGAAGTATGATAGTAACAAGCTTGTGAAGGATCCCTAATTATTGATAATTGATGCAAGAAAAATAGTAAGTATAAATATTTGCACACATTTTTGGCCACTATTATTCAAGAATAAGATTTTTTTTGCAAAGTGATTTCTAAAAAAAATGATTTATTTAGAGGTTGTATAGAGAGCAAAGATTGTGGTACAGCATTTGGAGTCAAAAAGAACATTCAAAAGTATTTGATCTTTTCCAAGCTGGTAAAGGACACAATGTTATAATAAAAACAAAATTGCTTAATGTACAATGTGTTTTATTTATTTTAAGACTTCATAGATGAAAATATTCTAATACAAAAGTAATTAAAGATTGGATATAATGAATTAAATTTAGAAAAAATTAATTTATATACAAAAAATTATTATCCACATTGAATGAATATGAATTTTTAAAATAAATGTAGAAAAGAATATTAGCAAGACCATGATTTTTTTTAGATTTGTAAATGACATAGAAATCAAAATCTAATTAAATATTTTTTGAATAAGTCATTTATAAACTTGAAGTTTGTTATCCAAATACATTAATGCTATGTAGTCAGCAGAAAATAAAAATTATTTTTTCAATAAATAATAATAGAATTTTAGATAGCATTAA